GAACAAATCTACAATAAAAAACGAACACCAATAGCTTTAAATTTATAGACAATTTGTAGACCACTCATAATTATATAAGTTAAAACTTATGTATTGCAGACAAAATATAAATATTCTCACCTGTTTGTTTTAACCAATTTCTCCAAATCGTCTCCATACGTGTCTTTATCAATATTCTTGCTAGGACGATAAATGTGCGAAGCAATAGAATTGCCATCTTTCCACGGCTTGTCGTAAACATTGTACTCGTCGTCGTGTCCGTAACCGCTGTCCATCCCTTTGCTGGTATTAAAGAGACGTTGATCGAACTGCGCTTCTCCCGTACTAGGAATGCTTTTTGCAGGTAAACCAAGAGCGATTTGCTCGCTAATGTCGCGCTCGCGTTCGCGTTGCAAACGAGAGCGTTTATCAGGAGCGGCGCGAGCTAAATTACGTTCGCGAGCGCGATCTTTGTGCCGTTCTTGTCTGAGTTGATCTCTCTCACGTGATTCTTCAGATTTATCTGTCGAGAGAAAGAAAGCATCTCTTTATCAGTTAAATATCTTCATCATTTTTGTCTTGATTTAATTTTCAGGAATATTTATTATTATTATTTACTTTGTGTGTGAACTAGCAATTATACAAACCTAATGTTGCGGCAGATTTCAAGCCGGCGCGCTCTTCTCGAGCTTTTTGCGCGAGTTGCCTCAAATGATCTTCCTTCTTCTCTTTCTCCTTCTGAGCCAATTTTTTTTCTAATTGAGCTCGCATTTCGACAGCTTGACGGGCTTTTCTGTCAGCGATGTAAAGAGCTTCTGCTAGCTTGGCAAAGTTCTCATTGATGTGAACTTGTTGCAAGCCCCGACCGTCTGCAGCAAGACGTTTGTCTAATGGGATTGTGTAACCCTGAAATGAAACATAACTTTGTTTCCTAGAATTGTAGATAGAATCGAGTATATCAAATTATATTGCAATATTATCTCTTATGGCGAGATAAACGCGATATTAGGCATAAAATATTTCTAAACACCTTTGCGTTTTTCCAGTTACTTATGCACGGTGGAATTTTCCATTCTTTCTGTTCCTTCACCGTCACTTTTCTCGTGGGGGAATGCATGACCGGCGCTGGAGGAGATGGAGGTCCTCGCGGAATCTTTTTATTAATCCTGCAATTGAAAATCTTTACATTAAACATCTGGTAATTGTAGTTGTTCTTTATTCAATTTCACAATCGTCTTATTTTCACTGTACATACTTAAATTTTGGTGGTTCCAAAGGATCTACTTGTGCCTCCACCATTCTGATGACCCTTTGCTTTGCACCTGAATTAAATGACTGTCCTTGCTGCGACGGTGTATAACGTATATACTGAGCTGGAGCTTGTTTCTCTGCACATCTCACAGGCATGGCTGCTGCAATCTTTGATCTCGTTATCTTTTCTAACGCTTTTTTCGTCTTATCTGTGAGTTCATCAATTTCGTCTTCAAGAGGTCGTTGCAAGGTAGGATCTTCCTCATTTGTAATTTCTGACGGTAGCAAATCGCTCAACTTGCTATAGACAATCTATAAAAAAAAAATAGTAGATTAGAGATGCTAATTTATAATTTCAGAATATATATTTAAAGCAAGATCGAAATTTACTTTATCTTTGCTATGACCTTGTCTTGCTATAAGATCATATTTTACTTTTCCCTGAGCATCAAGTTGTATCGCCAAGGCATTGCTTGTGGATTCTTTGCCCTTCATCCCCATTCCAAGTGGATACTGTGCAACGTGAATCTCAGGGAAAGCTCCTCCATCTCCAAAGTCCTACATGTAATATACAATGTATTACACTTAAGAGAATTATAAGAGTTATCATAATCATGATTTTATAAAATGCAAAAGTAATTGAATTATGCTGATAAAAAATGTTTGTTTATACAAATCTTTGCCAAGTTATGGCAATTACTCACTTCTGGATTGCGTGGCACCCATCCTCGTCGCTGTCCATAAGGTGGTGCAGTAACAACAGCTTTGACCAGCGCTGAAACCGGTCTTTGACGTAGTTTTTGTTCGCGAGCTTCGTCCTCCCTGTCCCACACCACTTGGGTGGGGGCAGGTAATAAGCTAGATCGTAGAAAGAAATGAAACAACTATTATTACAACCAGATAATTTGTAAGTTCTGATTCTATGTTTAGAGGTTAAGATATCTATTTTCAAGTCAATTACAAAGCGTCTTTTTTTATACTATTTAAGATTGTGATCAATAGTAACGAAATAATTTTACTAAACATATAAATTTGCGTATGAAAATGATTCTTACTTTGTTAAGGACATTATTAAATACGATTTGTGTATCAATCCTACTGGAAGGTCCACACCAGTCCACACATACCACACACGCGTCTCACACACATAAACCGACACTATTCCGAGTCCGAGTACTGACAGCTGAATATGAAACTTCGTGCTTTCACCACACGAGGTCTCCAAGATCAACTCGTGTGAAGGTGGGGATTAATAATCCTTTTGTCAAGATCTCTCTTCAGCAACTATCAGTTGATATGTCTCAATGATCCAAATTTTTGTAGTGTTTACAGTACTTGAATACTTATTCAAATTTATAAAATGACTTCTAAGTCCGAGATCACTTTGGAGCATTTTTATATTTTTAATGGCACTTATGCGAAGAAGGAAGGAGAGGCAAGTATGCAGAGATGTGTCAAAAAATAATCCTTTTTGATTAAATAAGGTACATGTGATGTGAACATATGTTTGTTTTTTATCAGGAAGAAAAGAAAATATTGTATTACTATCCAGAAAAGGATATAGATGTTCAAATCAAGAACATAGGGCTTAGCGAAGCGATAATTAAGTTTACAGAGTATGTATCGCAATTGTGTTTGTCCGTAAAGAATATTGTTATGAAAGAAAATGTATTACAGGTCTTTCAGTCCTGGACAGCCATGTGACTATTGCCATACACATAAAACACGTCAGATATATTATCAACCAGAACCTAATTTTTGGATGGTAATGGTACGTATTTTAGAAGATATAATAGATGAGACATTTATCATTTTTAAATTAGTATGAGATACAAAGCAATTTTATTAACATTTTATAGATTGTTGGTGTACCATATATCTACAAAGAAAAAGATGGTAATAAATATCAGAATGATGAAGTATCCAGCAATGTTTGTCAAGCTATATTAAAGCAGACATACATGATGTTTAGATTATTCATGGGTTCCTTTGAAACTATCATTAATGATCCTGAATGTGGCTCTGTAATGTTATTAAAACTTAAACTAGAACATTTTTATTCACGAGTAAGCAAAGTTACATTTTTTCAATCAAATATAAGCTCGACATGAATATATGCCTTTACTGTATTTCATTTTCAATTTGTTTCAGTATCTACTTTCATTAAAACTGAATAATAGTGATATATTAGATGTTTTCCAAGGTTTGCAATTCTTACCTCTTGACAAGATTACATTTCTCAAAGTGCAATGCTTTATGAATCTTGTAGAAGCTATGTTTACACAAGTAAAATACACTGCATTTCTCTATAATGATCAAGTTGTTTGGTACGTTTTGCTTTCGTTATTTCTCTATTATGATATATGTATATATTGAATATTTTATATAAGATTTCTTTCGTAATTTTTTTAGGAGTGGCTTGGAACCTGAAGACATGCAAGTAGTTTATAATTATTTAGTAAGTACTCTTTTACCAGCTCATCTTGAAAAAGAATTACATGGAGGCTCAATACCTAGAAACTCTCCCTCACCATTCACTTCTTCACATTATGGAAAGTACGAACGAATAAATACTTTTGCTTCAATTTAAATGTAAGTTGTGACGAAAATACTATTAAAAGTATTTTTGTTTAGATTTGTTACCGGACCTGCTAGCGTTAATGAGCCCAGTTTAATTGGAAAATCACCAAAAGTTTTTATCAACTACTCTACTAAACCTGTATCATTGTATCTAGTAGTGTATCGAGCACTAAGTGCTACAATATGTCTCTTCGTCGATAGTAAGTGAAATTGTTAAAACTATTAGTTACATTATTTATCAACACAAAAATAAAAATATTTATATTTTTTAATTTTCAGAGAAAACTAGTTTATTGATTGATTTCTTTAAAAGCTTAGATGGTTTTCTGGGACCACAATTAACCACATTAGTTAGCTCTGTAGCTGAGCAGTGCTCAAAACATGTAATAGTTACACCGGAATCGTGTACCAAGTATCTGTATTTTAATAAGTTAAATCTAGCATACAAGAGTACAATACATTTAGATAATAGACGTTGCTCTAACGTACTTACAACACCTGAGGTATTAAGGATTATTACTGATATATACAACGATAGAAACAGGTACGTACATATCCCAAAAAATTCATAAAACATGCGCGTTAATGAAAATTACATATTAATTACTTGTCTCTTAGATTGAAGGAAGCTGGAGAAGTAATTATAAAGACCATAAGTGATTACTGGGTTATTGGAAAGTTGTCGAATCTGAGAGAATTTTTTGTTGTTATACAGCAGAAAAGTGCGAGTATTATAGAAATTGATGGTAGGTATAACATTCTATGCAATTGTATTTATGATTGTTTAATAATCTCTTGATTAATCTTTCCATTTATTACAGATGAAGTAAAGAGGCTTTGCGAGAAACAATTAAAAAGTATTTTTTTCCATTGATGAATATGCAACGAAAAATGGAAATTATGCAATTATAAATATTATTTCCTTATTTTTATCATTAATAACAATCCTGGCTGACTATAAACAGGTAATATACATTATATGAAGTAATTGTAGGAAGCTGTATATTTATACACATGTGATATAAAATATGAATTATCTCTCTTTCTCTCTTTTTATATATACATATATATTTTATATTATTCATTAGTACTGAAAAATTGAAAAGAATTTGTATATGTAAATAAGACAAAGTAATGCTATGATATTGTATGTAATAACAGCGTAATTTGATTATAAAAAAATTGTTGAACAAATCAAGAAAATTTTAATCAGACGCTTCTTCCTTTACATTTTTTTGATTAAGAATATTGTTGGAGAATTTTTTTAGTTTTGCTACAAAGAAACCATCCATATTATGTACATGCGGATAAAACCGTTTAGTTAATTTCAGTGAGGGATGAAATCGATATTGTCTGTAACTCGTGAAACCATCAGTTCCAAATTCCAAACCAGTAGGTAGTAACTTAACGTCGCGCTTCTTAAGAGCGTAATCGATGATCCATTCGTTCTCCTCTGGTAGAATCGAACAGGTCGAATAAACAATAATACCACCTGATTCCGAACGCGCGTTAACACAATCAATCGCAGCTAATAACAGTTCTCTTTGTAATGTGCAACAGCGTTGAATGTCTACTTCCGCCTTATTCACTTTTACACTAGGATCTTTTGCGACTACTCCTGTACCTGTACACGGAGCATCCAATAAGACTCTGTCAAAGCCTTTTATAATCTGTGAAAATGATTATCAAATTCATTAATCTTGAAAGCTTTACTGTGAGCTATAAAAAAATAAAAGAAAATTTTCTTTACCGTAGGGAATTTTCGCCCGTCATAACTACAGATTACACAATTGACAATACCAAGTCTATGGAAATTGCCAACAACAGCTTTCAATCGTTCTTTATTTAAATCGTTAGCGAATAGAGTTCCAGTATTTTTCATAATAGCAGCAATGTGCGAGGCTTTACCGCCTGGTGCAGCACACATATCAAGAATTCTTTCATTTTCTTTCGGGTCTAACGCCATTACAGGCAAGAAGCTAGAAGCGCCTTGTATCATATAATGTCCAGCTAGATATTCTGGTGTTGCGCCCATAGGCACTTGTGAGGAATACACTACTAAACCAATTTTTGTCCATTTTCCTATTGGGTCAAGATTAACACCCCTATTGATGAGAGCCTGAAAATAGATTTGACATTGCAATTATAATTATATTTATATATATATATATATAATGATTTAATTTTGATATGAATTTACCTCAGCTAGATCGCGTCGTCTGGTTTTCAAAGTATTCGCTCGGATAGTCATAGGTCTTTGTACTTCACTCGCTTCCAAAAATTCTAGTAACTCATCTAGTGGGAACATTTGCATCAATTTTTCCATTAGGAAATCGTTATAACTGTAATATGTACGTAAGTCCATTCGAAGTAGTTCAGTATATTCAGAACGTGATCTATTTTTCTCCCGTAATTTCTTGAAATCTGATAACACCATGATAACGTCTCGTATTCGTTGCTGAATATCTTTTAAATTAGTAACATTGGTAAGTTCTTCGTCCGTTGGAAAAGAGAATACACTTTGATGTACCATCATATCTTCCATTTCTTCCTCAGCAAGCTTTCTATTTAATAAAAAAAATGGAAAGAATTAATTTTAAAAAATTAGTATTAGAAATAGTTAAAAATTTACTCACTGTTCTTTCTCTTTTTTCTTTTTCAGTTTTTTATTAGCTTTTTCTATTGGAAGTAAGTCATCATCATCACTTTCATCATTTTCTTCTTCATCTTCCTCCATTTGTTCATCTTCGGTAGATTCTTCCTCGTCACTGGAAACCATCTCTTCACTGTCACTTTCTATATTATCCTCCATAAATTTTTTTGTTTTCTTCAAATTTTTCTTTGACTTTGTTGCAGAAAGCAATTTATTATTATCCTTGCTCATATCCTCTTCATTCTCGCTCGTATACTTTTCATTCTCGCTCGTATCCTCTTCATTCTCGCTCGTATCCTCTTCATTCTCGCTCGTATCCTCTTCATTCTCGCTCGTATCCTCTTCATTCTCGCTCGTATCCTCTCCATTCTCGCTCGTATCCTCTTCATTCTCACTTATATCCTCTTCACTCTCGCTCATATCCTCTTCATTCTCACTTGTTTCTTTTTCATCCTCACTCGCATTCACTTCATCCATTTGTTCATCTTCATCTTCCTCAATTTCATCATCGTCATTAAATAACATATTATCATCATCTTCACTTTCTTTGTTGCTCTTAACTTTCATGTTTTTCTTCTTTTTGCTTTGCTTTGCTTTCTTGCCTAGTTTAGTTACTTGTTTATTAGAATATATTTCCATTTCTTCATCTTCACTAGGATTATTAACACTAAAACTTTCATTTTTTATACTGGTCTTAACTTTCATATTTTTATTTTTGCTTTGCTTTGCTTTTTTGCCTAGTTTGGTTACTTGTTTATTAGAGCATATTTCCATTTCTTCATCTTCACTATAATTATTACCACTATAACTTTCACTTTTTATATTGGTCTTAGTTTTCATGCTTTTCGGTTTTTTATTTTGTTTGGCTTTCTTACTTAGCTTCGATACTTGATTATTGGAATATATTTTCATTTTATCGTCTTTACTGTGATGATTCTTATTACTATCATTTTCTACATTTTTGATTATATCTTTCTGTTTCCCTTTTGTTTTCTGCTTATTTTGTTTTATTTTTGTTTTTAGCTTTGAGCTCAGATTAGATTGGATTACCATCTCATCTCTTTTCTCATTGACAAACTTTACTTTCTTCTCCTTCTTCTCTTTCTGCTGTTTTAATATGTCTTCCCTCTAAAATTAATTAAACAAAGATTATTTATATAAAAGCTATAAAAAAGTAATAATAGACCTTTATTATATAAATCAAAAACATATATTTTTTGACTGTACTTGTTGTTCTTCCACAGTAGTTTTCTTTTTGAGCAATTTCTTTGCATTTTCTTTTAGCTGTTGATTCTTCAATAGCCTTTTCCTTGCTCTTTGTTTCTGCCGGTGACTTAATGTACTAAATTCGTTACCTATAACGTGGAAAGGTTTAGTTAATTTTATATATAATTTTATGTGCAAATATATTAACAAAAATTAATCATTTATTTTTCATACCTAGAATTCCTTTTGGAAATGTTGGATCACTCTGTTTCTTTGCCTTCCTTCCACGACCACTGAGGTCTTTATCAAATTTTCCTTTGCGACCCATTTAACCTACAAACTGTTGAATAGATTTTTATTTACAGCATAAATGTTTTTGAACTATTTTATAAACAATAATATTTTACAAACAAAGGATATTCCACAATTTTTATCATACATTTGTTATGCAAAAATATATCAATTCTTTGTCACTGTTTAAACAATTCCAAGCTTCTAACCTCTATGTGCAAACAAGGAAGTATAATTTCATGTAACATATAATGTTTTAATATCTAAATATTGATTTTATTAATATAATAAAGCCGTTAAAAATGGCCTGGTAAAATTGTTTTATACTTTAACAGATTATTTCATTAAAATGTTATGCCGCGAAACTTTTATAGCCATACGCTATTGATCACCGCGTGGTACCGCGTGGTGCAGGGTGCAGCATGAGGCCTGTTCGTGTTTCTCACACTTTTTGCACTCGGTATCTTCGCTTTCTCTCTTTTCAAAGCCAAATATACATCTATCTCATTCTAAGTGCAAAAATATTTGGGGATTTCATGCAACGCGAACAGATCTATGGTCAACATTTTCTACAGGACGGGGGGAAAGGGGACAGTTTCAGTTCTTTTTGTTGGGATGTGATTGGCTGCAGGATAGAGAAATACTTGAATTTTTTGAAATTTCCTATCTTATAACCATTCAATACTCTCGAAAAATTTGTTATTTACGACAATTGATCCGAATACGTGGCGACGAGATTGAAAATTGTATTAAAAATTCAAATTTATTATACATATATATAATGCACGCAGTTTTAATTTATTAAAAAAAATTGTGCATAGTAGACTATTTTGCAAGAGACTAATGCATTTAAAAATGCATTGTACGTTTTTTTAATGAAAAAATTATGAAAAAATTACAAATTTTTTTACATTTGTGAATGTAATACAAAAAGTGTGGCGGTGATTTAGAACTTGGACAAAACATTATTTTAATAAATAGACATTTTTAAAGATTAAGGATAAAACAAAAAAATTTTATTTAAATTATAAGATTATACTGTTAAATATAAATTGCCTTATATGACTATTTTATATGTATATAATATTCATTTTTGTACAGAAAGTATGAATTTTTAATTTAATTTATTTATTTTTTGCACAGATTATACACCAAATACATTCTAAAAATTAAATCGAGTAGTTGAAATCAAGTAATTAAAGAAAAAATATAAAGGAATTAATGCGTATTATATTCATTATTAATTAAAATAAAAAGCAATTTCTCGTAATTTTTGTCAAAAAATGTGGAACGCTTCACGATTTTGCGTGTCATCCTTGCGCAGGGGCCATGCTAATCTTCTCTGTATCGTTCCAATTTTAGTATATGTACTGCCGAAGCAAGTACAGTTCGAGGCTCTTTTATAATCATATATATACTTCGAAACGTGTTTAAGATCACTCTCGAGAAAATCCCATTAAACCTTCAATGGACTCTCAACCACGGCCATCTAGTGAGAAATACGCGAATTAAAATAAGTCTTTTACTTTCACAGTGCTATGTTAGTCTCGTTTTTTACTTGTAAAACTACTCGATCTTTAAAGAATTTTATTTATTGTATCATTATTTATGACAACCGTAACTTATACAACTGTTCAGTAGATTAAATATCGGATTGAACGCGATTGAACGCCGCGCAACGTATGCTGGTACCAGCCGGTATCGTACTGCCTTTTGAACGCGCCACGCGCTGTGACGTAGTCCTGTGACGTCGCTGTGACGTAGCCTACGTCATGCGCGTCACGCTACGGGGTCAGCACGGCTCGGAGCACGGCTTCTTGCGCAGTAAACGATCGCCGCGCCGCGATATAACGTCTTTCCGCCTTCGTCGTTGAATTCTCGCCGATTCAAATACGCGTTCGCGACAAGTATGTGCAATATTCGTTTCCGACAGCGACAGGGGATTATTTGTGCATGAAACAGTGCGTGTGGAAGCCGGATTTGCTTGCAATCTTGTCGATAAATGTTCTCGATTGCCTCTTTCGTGCTTTTCGTTGCGATCGAGCACAGTGGAATCGCGAAGTTAGCCGCGTTCGCGGAATACCGAAGGGTAAATGAGGTGAATCTTGCGTCTCTTTTCGACATGGCTCGTCGAAATTATATGAACATATATTTTCGTGCGTATATTGAGTTTCATGTGTATGTGTAATGTGCTTCAGGTGCAGTAAAGGGAGAAAACGAAAGCGGAGGAAGCCAATGGATTTAAAGTGTGGACTTCAAAGTGTCCAGCAACAGCCCCGAATGAACTTTCCGTCTTCGCTGTTCGGACACAAAGGCAAGACTTTGAGTAATTGGATCGGATTTGTCAGGTACACATTTTATTTTTGACTCGTTATGCGTCGTCTTGGCATTCGAGATCGTATTTTAGTAGACAGTAGATACACGCAGAGGTCATACAGTCCATTGAAAATTCCGCACGTTGTGACGCTGTTCCACGGGGTTCACGCGACTCGCAGAACGGCTGCTCGCGCAGACGACAGACACATAGCGTGTCTTTCGTCGTCAATTTCGTTAATTCAAACGCGCGAGTGCGACAAATGTCTGCGATGCTTGTTCGGGATAATAACGCGGAATTGATAATTGTGTGCGTAAAACAATGCGTGTGGCAGTTAAATTTTCTCGCAGTCATGTCGATGAACGTTCGCGATTGTTGTCGAGCTCCGAAGTTAGCCGCGTTTGCTTTCGTGCTTACCGGAATGTAAAATGTCGTCCGACTATTTTTTGCGCTGTTTTTCATCGGTGTTTAAATGCCGTGTAAGAGAAATGGGTAATTATTTAAAATAACCCCCCATCCCCACCTTAAATCTTAATAAAAATACACTTATTCGACGTGTTTTCACTCAAAACGAAAGAACCTGGCAAAAAAAACGCGGCGGTCGGTCTCATGAATCGAGTTATTAAGCGTTAAAATTAGAGACTTTAGAGATTAAGATATCTATCATCCCGATTCGATACAGCTCTATGTATACGTTCTGCATTAATTACACAAATTCACTGCCTTAAAAACACATTTACCACTTTAAAAATACAAATTCACTGCTTTAAAAACATAAATTCTCTGCTTCACAAACACAAATTCACTGCTAATGCAAAGAATTTATGTGCTTAAAACAGTAAATTTATGTTTTTAAAGCAGTAAATTTGTGTAATTAATGCAAAACGTTTACATAGAGCTGTATCGAGAATCGGGATAATAGATATCTTAATCTCTAAAATCTTCAACTTTAACGCTTAATAACTCGATTCACGAGGCCGACCGCCGCATTTTTTTACCAGATTCTTTCGTTTTGAGTGAAAACACGTCGAATAAGTATATTTTTATTAAGATTTGAAGTAGGGGGGATTATTCTAAATAATTACCGAGAAGTAATTCAGATTCCACCAGACGGTCGATGAAGGAAGCGATACACAGGGAATAGTCTTTTGAAATTTCTAACAGTGATGGAATAGATCCTTGAATAGATTGTCATTGAACGTGACGACAGATTTAACGGTAGGACTTCGAGTAGGTAAGCCGATCTATAAATCTTTATCTGCCGTCGTAGATTGTAATTCGCGAAATTTTCAGTAGACTAGATTCTCTAGATGTACTGAAATGCGTTATTTTTACCAGGATGAAAGTAACTGGTACAGAAATTTGTATCTTAGAAATAATAGCACAATTATCGTATGAGGCTGTGATAGATTAATAGCATTTTTCAAACGTTCTTTAAAAGAATATTAATCTTTTAAATTAAAAAAAGAAAAATGTAAATTAAGAAAATGTTTTTCATTTAATTTTTTAATAAAAAAAAAAGAAAAATATGCAAGTTAAAAGAATTTTCTATAAAAAAAATATCAATTAAGAGTTAAAATATTAATTATTAACATTGAAAATATGTGAATTAATTTGTATTAAATATATATAAAGTGCTCGTAGCAAATTCTCTTAGTTTGCACATTTTTCTTTTTCTTTATTTAAAAATAAATTTTCCTTTAAAGTATATAAAAAAGAGGCGTAACTATAGCATAAAGAAAATGTTACTGACAGACTTTCAATAAGACTATTCCCCCCCCCCCCCCAGATTTAAAAAGCAACTGGTTGAGTAGAAATTCAATGTGCGAAAATAGAATTATCGGCGAATTTTTTCTTCTCTCTTTTTTTTTGCATAAAAGTCGAGAAATTCTGACTACACCTCTTGGCGGCATTTCACGACGTTTAAGTTGAAGAAGAAGTTTCAGTGGGGCGCGCGACGCGATAAAGGAAAAGTTCGACATTCATGACAGAATTTTAAAGTTTACGCCCGCGAGAATATGAATGTTTAATGGCCGCGCTGCGTCGACCAGGAGGAAACGAGCGGTACACCGACGAGTGCAATTTGATTTTTTTTTTCGCGCGACACTGATATCTAACGGTCGCTTGGTAATGCAATTTACATAGCACGAAAAAGGAAATGCCATGTCGACGACCCCTCCTGCTTTCATTCGCGACCCCGGAAGCATTTCAATTATCCGAGATCTGTTTGTATTTCGTAACTGCACTTCTTCACCAGAAGGGACATTTCAGTTACCCTCGTAGTTTCGTCCCGGTAGCGGCATCATTTCACATTTATTATATCTGTATCCATTTTGCGTGAGCTTTACGGAGATATTAAATCAAAATGTACAATAAATATCTCTTATATATCCAGTTTGTATCATTTGACTGATATAATTGGAAAATTGATTGCGCCTTGTTTCGTGCATGAAACTTTAATCGAAAGATACAAAATTAATGCAATTGTGTGAAAGAGTTATTATTGGTTTCATAAAATTTCAAAATTCATTCGATGCTTTTATTTCTGTATGTTACTTGATATTTCGCTATTTCTGATTGCAACGCGAATTTATTTATACATCTAATATATTTATAATGTATCTAACAAAATTTTTATATATTTCAAATTGTCTTTTCCGTGTAGAAAATTGAGAAAAGGGATGTACAAATTTAATTAAAAATGGGAGTTAAGCTCGTTTAAATTGGAGTTTTCATTAGCCCAGCTAATATAATAGAATTCCGAAACTGTGATGACATGTAAACGTCTTTGTGTTTATGCATGTTATGTCTGAAACATTGCTGCGTTACTATGAATTACCATATGCGGACATAATCGCAGTAGCGTAACAGCGGTCACGACTTCAATTAAAGCCGGTTGTTCAATTGTGCGAGCTTCTCTCTCTCCCTCTCTCTAGCACAGGATGTATAGCACGGGTCAAGTCGGATCCCGCGCGATTCGACTACGCAAAGCACGTATTTCGCGGCATCCATCGAGTCGTTAGAATTCAACCTCAGGCGCATTGTGCCCCGATCGTTGGAAATAATTAAGCTCTCTCCACGCGGGCAAAAGCCC